CCACGCCTGGACACCCAGCTACTTTTTCTTTTTCTTTCTTTTTCTTTTTTTTTTTTTTTTTTTTTGGTAGAGATGGGGTTTCACTATGTTGCCCAGGATGGTCTTAGTCAAACTCCTGGGGTTGAAACGATCCTCCTGCCCCGGCCTCCCAAAGTGCTAGGAGTACAGGGATAAGCCACCTCACCCAGCCTGGGAGTGTATAATTAGCACTGGTGCTCGGATTCATTCCACAGGTCCCTTCCTCTATCCCACACCAGACACTGCTAGGCACTGGGTATACAAATGGAGTAAGTAGGACACAGTCCTGCCCTCAAGGACGTTATGGCTCAGATGGGGTGACACAAGTCAACAGCCGCAGGCTGAACCATGAATGAGCACACAGTACAGGATGTTGTGCAGGAGAGGGTCCTCCCAAGGAGGCTTCTAGAAGAGAGGACTTGAATAGCAAGCAGGATTCAGCTGCAAAACGAATGCAGTAGGTAGAAGGGCAGATGGAAGCAGGGAAGGGGTGGGAGAAGGCACAGTGTGTGTTGGGGTAGTTTGTGCATAGCAGGAGATAAGGCCAGAAAGTTGAATAAGGGTGAGGGTTGAGGGGAAGGAACTTAGAGGATGGGTCAATAGGGGCAGCAAACCACCATGCACATGTATACCTATGTAACAAGCCTGCACAATCTGCACATGTATCCCATTTTTTTTTAGAATAAAGAAATAAAAGTTGAATAAAATGCTGATCACATAGGCTCTTGTGAATTAATTTCAGCAATTTGAACTACATCTGAAAGTTGGGGGTCACCATTACAGGACTTAAAATTGGGAAGCTTGAGCCAGGCGCAGTGGCTCACACCTGTAATCCCAGCCCTTTGGGAGGCCAAGGTGGGTGGATCACCTGAGGTCAGGAGTTTGAGACTAGTCTGGCCAACATGGTGAAACTCCGTCTCTACTAAAAATACAAAAAGTGAGCCGAGCGTGGGGGTGCGCACCTGTAATCCCAGCTGCTTGGGAGGCTGAGGCGAGAGAATCACTTGAACCCAGGAGGTGGAGGTTGCAGTGAGCTGAGATCGCACCACTGCACTCCAGCTTGGGAGACAAAGCGAGACTCCATCTCAATAAATAAATAAATAAAAATAAAAATAAAAATGCTGCATAAAGCAATCAGGAATATGTTATGAACTAATGATTAATGTGATTTTGTTCACCCGTGGGCCATTAAAGATAACGAAGGTCGTTACTAAGATCATTAGTAAGTATTTGAACACCGAGGATACTAAAGGGAGAATGGAAGACATTTTGATTAACAGAGAAAAAGAGTATGTCCTGGGAATGATCAGGTGCTGGTGGAGAAAAACAGCAGAGAGATGAGGGAGGCAGGTCCAGAAGGACTTCAAAGTTATAGGGAAAGTACAACTGGAAAAAAACAATCAATGAGTGAAGCAAACAGCGTTTACCTGGAAGTCCTAGAAGCCAGAAATACAGGAAAAACGTGAGAGAAGATAACAGTTTTCGAAGTAGACAAATGGTCGTGTATCAGGCCAAAAGTCTCTGATCTCCAAGACTTCAGGACTGCCACCCCTTGAGAGCTGCTGTTGAAGGGGACAGACCTGTGATTTCCAGGCTGATGGGTGATGGTATCTCAGGGTGTAAGAATCTGTATCTTGAGAGAATTGAAATTGTCCTAGCAATCAGCCTCGCATCATACTAATCATCCTTCCTCTTATGAGCCCAGAATATTTAGCTTGTGGAACAAGCATCCACATGCCAGGAAACAATGACATGATGATCAGGTCAGAAAAATACTCCTTCTTGCAGCCATTCACCATCCCCTGACCCTGGCAGGCCTCACCACTGTGCTACCAGCTCAGCGCACTGTTAGGAGATGGGTTCTTGCTGCAGGATGAACCCACGTGTGTCTAGAGGGAGTCTAGGCTGAATTATGGTCTGGGCCAGGCTTCCACATCTTCCTCTTCAAATGCTAAAGTGAAAAAGAATGCCAGAAGAAAAGGTGGCCATCAATAGACCAGCAACTAAGGGAATTCTTGGTAGGTACAGAATGTTATCACTACCTTTCATGAACCTAAGCAACTATCAAAGATAAAGAAAGTTTAAGTGTTGAAAAAGAAACAGAACTAATGGGAGTTCAAAATAGCCAGTTCAGAATCTACATTAAGTTTCCTTTTATGGCATTCATAACCGAATAATAAATGTAATAGGGAAAGATCGATCATCGGATTTGGGACTGAATTGAGTTTTACTTTCAACAACAAAGCAGAAAAGGAAATCTGAGTCCCAAGTAGTTTAGGCACAGCCAAATTGTGAGATTTAAGTAATGTCACCAGAACGGTTTCTCCACACCCCATCCTGCCTCCGAATTGTAGACTCTCTCCTGTGCGGTGTTCTCCACCAGGCAGGTTCCCTCCATACTGCAGTGGAAAAGAAGTGTCACAGTGTTTACAGGAACTCTAGCATCAACCCCTGCCAGCTTTGCTTAGGGGTCGGCTCTCTAGGCCAGATCTGGGTCATAGTCCCAATCTTGGGGTGGAATGAAGTGAGGAGTCAACCCCACCAGAGCCACGTGGCCTAAGAACAGAGGATGGGTAGGTTCCCGCAGGAAAACTGAACTGTCATCACAAGAGGACGTGGCTTTGGGGAAGGCAGACATCCTCTGTAGAGTCCATTCCCAATAGTGACAGAAGCCAAAGAGCTGGAAAACATCTAAATAGAACCTATATAGAGAAAACCATAAGAGACCTGAATAAATGGAGCAGGAGTTCTTAGAAGGGAAGGCAACATTAGGCCGGGCACGGTGGCTCACGCCTGTAATTCCAACACTTTGGGAGGCCGAGGTGGGTGGATTGCTTGAGCTCAGGAGTTCAAGACCAGCCTGGGCAACATGGTGAAACTCCGTCTCAAAAAACAAAACACAACAACAAAAAATAGGGAAGACAGTATTGTAAAGATACTATATATTTCCAGATTGATCCACTTTCATTCTGTCACCTAGTCTGGAGTGCCATGGTGTGATCTCGGCTCACTGCAACCTCAACCTCTTGGGCTCAAGCAATTCTCCCTCCTTACCCTCCTCAGTAGCTGGGACGACAGGCGTGCACCACCATACCTGGCTAATTTTTGGGGTTTTGGTCCTCCTCTATTCTGTTTTTTCTTCAGACCAGACTGGCTAATTTAAAAATAGTTTTTCTAAAGATGGTTTCACTATGTTGCTCAGTCTGGTCTCAAACTCCTGGGCTCAAGTGATCCCACTGCCTTGGCCTCCGAAAGTGCTAGGATTATAGGTGAGAACCACCACACTTGGCCTAAATGGATTCTGTGAGACGGAATCTTGCTCTGTCACCCAGGCTGGAGTGCAGTGGTGCAATCTTGGCTCACTGCAACCCCCGCCTCCCAGGTTCAAGCAATTCTCCTTCCTCAGCCTCCTGAGTAGCTGGAATTACAGGCACGTGCCACCACGCCTGGTTAATTTTTGTATTTTTAGTAGAGATGGGGTTCTGCCATGTTGGCCAGGCTGGTCTTGAACTCTTGACCTCAAGCGATCCGCCTGCCTCAGCCCCTCAAAGTGCTGGGATTCCAGGCGTGAGCCACTGAGCCGGGCCTCAAAGGGATTTTTTATAAGCTGATTTCTAAAAAATTCACCTTACACTACTAAAAGAGCCGAGGATTTTTCTGAAGAACAGGGGAAGGGATTAGATTTATCCCATCAGATATTCAAATATCCTGGGAACACATAGCAGTTGAGACAGTGCTATTAGTAGATGAAAAGATGTCAACAGAACCGAATAGAGCATGTATTCAAATCAGCAGGGGAAAAAAGGACTGTCAATGAATAATGCTGAAATATCCACCCCAGCTCTTCAAGAGATGAGCCCTACTTCATATGACACTAAAAGAAATTTAGAATGGATTAGTGATGAAGGACATAGTACGCTTTTTATACTCTTGGGATAAGGAGCTTCCTCAAGAAGGCCCCAAACCGTGAAGCCATAAAGGCAAACATTCAGAATAGATCTGGCCAGGCACGTGGCTCATGCCTGTAATCCCAGCACTTTGGGAGGCTGAGGGGGTCGGATCACTTGAGGTCAAGAGTTTGAGACCAGCTTGGCCCACGTGGTGAAATCCCGTCTCTACTAAAAATACAAAAATTAGCTGGGCACAGCGGTGGGCGCCTGTAATTCCAACTACTCAGGAGGCTGAGGCACAAGAACCACTTGAACCCAGCAGGCAGAGGTTGCAGTGAGCCAAGCAAGATCTTGCCATTGCACTCCAGCCTGGGCAACAAAGTAAACAAAAAACAAAAAACAAAAAAACCAAAAAAAACCAACACTGCCAAGGGTGAAGAACTAAGCACTCTCATGCCCTGATGTAAGTTTGGACTGGTCGAGCCTATTTTGAGTAATAACTTGGGAGTAGCCAAATTAATACACATCCATTGGGATTAGATTCTCTATATTCTCATTCTAGGATTCTTTTACCAATGTAATTGTGTACGTGTGCAAGGCTATTCACAAAAAATTCCATGCAATGTTTCTAGTAGCCCCAAAAAGGAGAAACACCCTGAAATATACAGCAGTGAAATACACACCCTGAAATACACAGCAGTGAAAAGGTAATTAAATCAGCATATCCTGTGATAATGAAGAACGCACTGCAACAGTCCAAACAGTGAGGCAGAGCTGCATGTTCTGGAGAGAAAGCACTCATAAGATTAAGTCAAAACAGCAGGTCCAGTTAAGTTTTATAAAATGCAAGTGTAATAACGGGCAGGAAGGCATGCAGGGAATCACGCTGTTAACCACCTTGCAGGTGGGTGAGTTTGCAGAATGGAAGAGGGGAGAGGAGGGAGAGACTTTGAGCTTGTGCGTTAAGTGTTGAGGACAAAAAAAATCAAGCATTGTTAAATGTATATTTAAGGAGACAATAAAAACAAATTATCATCAATTCTACTTACTCCTAAGAACGAGAGCTTATTGAATCAGGAAAGACAAGTTTTTTTAAAGATACAAATTAAAACTTTGAAGTTAACCATTTATTGAAGAAATTAATATGTTAACTATAAAAACCTAGAAGTCCCAGGAATTAGATTTCAAAGGATTTGGCTTCAAAGAATTCCTTATAAGTGATTTTAACATTACATTCCTTGTTAAACTGGGACTTTTTCTGCTTTGGGGATTATTTTGCCCCAGTTGTGGCCATGATTAAAATTAGTCAGCAGCACATGAAGTTGTGGAGAGATGAGAGGTTTGCATTCTTATCCGAGTTTTAGCAAATAGCACTGTATTTCCCCATTTAATGGAAAGAAGTTTCTTCTGTGATTCTTTGGCATAATGAGGCACTGGACTCCCCATGTCTTTCACTCAGGGAAGAGCCATTTGCATTCTTGTCCTCACACCTGAGTACTTGTCACAAGTTAAAACACTGGCCACATCACCACCTCAGGACTCCTTGTATGCATTCAGGTAAAAACGTCTGCGGTGGCGGAAGGTGCTTTCCCTCAGTTCTTGTTCTCACACCTCTGTCATTTAGTTGGTCACAGTTGGGCAGGTAGAAGTGGGTTAAAAATTTTAAAACTCATAATAATCGTGTCCAGAGATAACCGAAGGCTGTTGCTAACAAGCATGCCAGGAAAGCCTGGATCAGCAGTTTTCTCCAAAAAGCCAGCGGAAAGGGGCTCCTGAAGAAGTGACAAAAGCCATCCTACAGCAGGGAGAGAGAAAAGTTAGATTGCCTCATGATGCTGAGAACCTCACTCAAAACACGCAGGAACTTCCAGATTAAACAGCAAAGTAAGGTCTGGATTGAAAGAGTAAAAGGAAAGGAGATTCTGACCGATACACATCCAGCAATAAAGAGCCCCTGAGGAGTGAGGATTGGTAAGTCTAACAGGGTGAACAGAAGCAACCACTTAACTTCGTCACTTGGTGCAGGAACACTCATATCTTGACTCAAAACCAGGAGGAAGGTAGCTTACTATGCTCTTTTCTGAGCAGAGAAGAGATGCCCTTTGGGAAACTATCAAGTCACTAGATTGAAAAGTTATCACCTGAGACTACAGCAAGCACCAACCCCATTTAGGAAGGTAATTGAACTCTAGGCTGTGGCATTTTAACTGCAATGGGCAGAGACAAGGCTGAACTATGTTTACCCAATTTGAGAATTTTAGCTTTTTTTTTTTTGAGACAGAGTTTCGCTCTTGGTGCCCAGGCTGAAGTGCAGTAGAAAGATCTCAACTCACTGCCATCTCCACCTCCTGGGTTCAAGCAATTCTCCTAGCTCAGCATCCGTAGTAGCTGGGATTATATGCGACCGCCAACACGCTTGGCTAATTTTGTATTTTTAGTACAGAGGGGGTTTCACCATGTTGGTCAGGCTAGTCTTGAACTCCTGGCCTCAGGTGATCCACCCGCCTTGGCCTCCCAAAGTGCTGGGATTACAGGCGCGAGTCACTGCACCCAGCCAAGAATTTCAGTTTTTTGGTGTTAAGAGATTATTCTTTAGTCAACAGTGATTAGCCAAAAACAAACAAAAAAAGCCTTCAACGGGCCCTTTTCCAATTCTAATCTCCTCTTCAGGACAGAGAGCCCTGAGGAGCCAGATGCCGTGTTGAGACAGGGCTCAGGTGAGGCTCTTAGGCACGCAGCTGAAGGGAGTTCACCTGCCCAGAGGGTTGAAGACCAACACTAACATTATCAACAAGGCAAGAGTTCATGCTACCACCACCCATTCCCTTTCCCTTCTCAGATAGAACCCAACTTGTCACTACAGAAGGTCTAAATGGGGGCCGGGCAAGGTGGCTCACGCCTGTAATCCCAGCACTTTGGGAGGCTGAGGCAGGTGGATCACGAGGTCAAGAGATCAAGACCATCCTGGCCAACATGGTGAAAAGCCCATCTCTACTAAAACACACACACGTTAGCCGGGCAAGGTGGCACGCGCCTGTAGTCCCAGCTACTCGGGAGGCTGAGATAGGAGAATCGCTTGAACCCGGGAGGCAGAGGTTCAAGAACACTGGAGTGCAGTGAGCCGGGATCTACCACTGCACTCCAGCCTGGCCACAGAGCGAGACTCCGTCTCAAAGAAACAAGGAAAAAAAAAAAAAAAAAAAAAGTCTAAATGGAAACTGCCTCCAGGAGGCTACATTTCAGATCAAAAAACTTGCCGGTTTTAAGAGTCTGGCTATAGGTGTCCGATAAAGTGGGCCACTTCAGTCATTGAATCAACGCCAATAAGGTGGTGGGGAAAGAAATGGGGTCTAGCTCAGAGCCCCAGAGGCATGCGGTGGGCTCACCACCAGGTGGCTTTCCTTGGTCATCAGCTGCAGGCCAAGGGCCTGTCACTCTAACCTTGACCACAGAGATGAAGGCCTGCAGCTGAAAGCCAGGGGCCCAGAAACGTCCTCACCTAGGGTTGGGTGCAGCGGATTAGAAGTTAAGGAACCGGTGGCTCAAGCCTGTAATCCCAGCACTTTGGGAGGCCGAGGCGGGCGGATCACAAGGTCAGGAGATCGAGACCACAGTGAAACCCCGTCTCTACTAAAAATACAAAAAATTAGCCGGGCGCGGTGGCGGGCGCCTGTAGTCCCAGCTACTCAGGAGGCTGAGGCAGGAGAATGGCAGGAACCCGGGAGGCGGAGCTTGCAGTGAGCCGAGATCGCGCCACTGCACTCCAGCCTGGACTCCGTCTCAAAAAAAAAAAAAAAAAGAATTTAAGGAACCTTGGAGTCACCGCCACCACTGGGCGACCACCACACTCCACAACCTCTCTGGACAGGCTGAGAGGCGTGGGGGTTGTGATCAATGGGTCCGAGTCTCTCCAAAGGCGCATTTAATAGGCAGAGGAGAAAAACACCCCACCTGGCCCGGGCCGGCCACTGCCGACGTCATTGGCTGGGGATTTCTATAGGAGCAAAGCGTTCAGAGCTAACGCGGGTGCCCCCTAAAAGCCCCCGAAGGCTAAGGCCAGGGCAAGGTCCAAGTGAGCAGACCTAAGCCTGCGCAGCTGCTTCGGAACGGTTCTAGAGCCGTCTAACAAGGCCGATTTCTGCCGGCCTTTCTTGCCAGGGGAGGAGAAGCCCCAGACTTCACACCGAACGTTCCAGTCCCGCTGAAACGAGCCTTTCTGCTTTCAAGAAACCTGGTTCCAGGGGGCTGGCGCGGTGGGTTCCTCATCGTGCCGGCCTCGTGGGCGCTTCCCGGATGCCCGTCCCGCCCCGCGTCCCGGTGTCCGCCGCGTGCTCACCCAGCCGCCCTGAGCCTGAAGCCAGGCGCGGTGCTGCCCCGCGAGCCGCGAGCTCAGCAAGGCCACCAGGCGCTGGCAGTCCCGGGCGACGTCGCCCTCCTGCTCCTTCAGCCGCGGCTGGAAGCCCCGCTTCTTCCACCAGGCTGTCACCAGCGGCTCTCTCTCCAGCAGCGTCCCCGCGAAGGTCACCAGCGACACCACCCTGCCCCAGGTGGGGCCGGGGCTGTCGGAGAGCACGGCCTCCGCCATCAGCGCCACCAGCTCGACGCGGTTCCCGGGGTAGCCGCGGTAGGCGGAGAAGAAGGACCGGTGGAGCTGCCGTAACCTGGCGGCCGCGGAGCGCAGCACGGCGGCCTCGGGCGTGGACGGCCTTGGCTCAGGGGTGCCGGGTTCCCGGGCGCAGCACCCCAGATAGTCGGCCAGGAGCCGCTCGGTGCGCTCCCGCAACGGGTCAGCCATGGTCCGGCCTCTGCTGGACGCCTCGGGCCTTCGCTGGTTTTCTTGGCCCGGCCGCGCCTCCCGCAGGGAAGGGCTGCCGTGCCCCGCCCCAGCCCCCAGCCCCCAGCCCCAGGTATTTGTTTTTCAGGATTGAGAGAGCAGCCTTTGATGGGAATCCCACCTGCACCTGTTACAGTCCCCAAGGCAAGGCCTGCCGGCGCGCATGTGTTCCTGTAGCAATCAGGTGCACTGGGAGGCTCTGGCGTTATTTAGCTCCAGGTCTGGGGACTAAGAACCTGAGGGGACAGACTGGGAAGCTGGGCTGGGCTTCAGCCTCCTAAGGAGCGCTTGACAAAGGCTACACATGGCCCCTCACAGACCGCTCCCTTGGGCATTATCTGCATCTCTAGATTGGAAAGCACCCAGGTCTGTGTTGGGGATTCCTTTCTTTGGGTCCAGCACATGCGGCAGGAAAAGGGCGAATTATCTTGGGGGCTGCCAGAGGGCCAATATTGGCTGTATTCATTCATATTTAGTAAGAGCCTTTGTGGTGCTACGCCTCCCCCCTTAGCCCTGAAGATACAATGGAGAACACCACATGTGGTTCCTGACCTCAAGGACTCTACAGTTTAGTGATGGCAAACAAAAGGGCTGTCCCTGTACAGTTTAATTCTGACTAGAAGTTGAAGGAGTCAGTACTAGGGCAGCAGCTGTTTCTTATACTATCATTCTGATACTGCTTGAAGTTCTCTTTACTTTTTATTGGCCAATCCCTAATTACTCCAGTCCCCTGATATAGCTAATATTTATATTAAACTTTCTCAGTTCATATGACTCCATGGCTTCTTTCTCCTGATCGGATCCAAACTGATGCAGAATGGATACTAGCAGTGATATTTCTGGGGGTTCAGGGGTCTGGAGCATGTTGAAATAGCCCTCCCAGGGTGAAAGATGAGTTGCTGCATCTTGCATCACTACAAAAGAGGCACAGCACTTGGTAGCTGTCTTATTCTGTCCAGGCTGCTATAGCAGAATGCCATAGACTGGGAGGCTTATAAATAAAGGCATTTCTTTCTCACAGTTTTGATGGCTAAAAAGTCCAAGATTGAGGCCCTGGCAGGTTCTGTGTCTTGTAAGGACCTGCTTCCTTGTTCACAGATAGCAGGCTTCTTGCTGTGTCCTCACATTGCAGTAGGTGTGAAGGAGCTCTCTGGGGTCTCTTTTATAAGGACAGTAATCTCATTCATGAGGGCTCCACCTTCGTGATCTAATACCTCCCAAAGGCCCCGTCTCCGAATACCATCACACTGGGGGTTAGGATTTCAACATATGAATTTTTGGGGGACACAGTAAGCCATTTTGGACTTTGAAGGCAACATATACTGTGTTTGAGTGTGCTATTTCAATCCAATTGACAGGCTGGTGGATTGAGGAGCAGAATGAGAGAAGACTCTGCAGAAGGTTCAGGCTGCAGTAAAGTGGCCCCACCACTTGGGTCTTGTGATCCAACAGATCCAGTGGGACTTTAATTGTCCAATAGGGATGCTGTATGGAGCCTCTGGCAAGCACTAACAGGAGAGAGGACAGACCTCTAGAATTCTGAAGTAAATATAGAACCTCTTCTGAAGATAACTACTCTCCTTTTGAGAAGCAGGTTCTGCCTTGCTACTGGGCCTTGGTAGGGGCAGAATGCCTGACCATGAAGCTTGAGTGCCCATCATGAACTGGATGTCATCTGACCCATGTAGCCATAAAGCTGGATGTATACAGCAGCCATCTATCATCAAATGGAGATGGTGTATTGGAACAGCCCAGGGAGGTTCAGAAGGTGTAAGTAAATTGTACGAGCAGGCCACTCAGACTCTTCCAACATCAACTCCAGTTACTTTGCCTCCTCTCCCTTATTCCACAGCTATGGCCTCTTGGGATGCTGCTTATGTTCAGTTGACTGAGGGAGAAAAACCTCCAGCCTGGATTATAGATGGGTCTATACGACGTGCTGGTACCACATGAAAGAGAACAGCTGCAGCATCCACTCACACTCGCTCGGGTGACTGTGAAGGACAGTGGTGAAGGGGAATCCTTCCAGTGGGCAGAAATTCAAGGTTGTCCAGAGATGGCCAGAATACAGACCTACATTGATTCATGGACAGTCGCTGATGGTTTAGCTGGATGGTCAGGGCCTTAAAAAGAACAGGACTGGAAGATTGGTGACATGAAAATCTTGGAAAGAGATATGTGGCTGAATTCCTTTGAATGGGCACAGACTGAAGATATTTGCATCTCACGTGAATGCCCACTAAAGGGCATCCACTGCAGAGAAGACTGAATCAGATGGACAGAATGACATGCTCTGTGGCTGTCAGCCAGCCTCTCTATGCCAATGCTGTGGCGTCTGCTCAATGGGCTGAACGAAGAGCTCCTGGCAGCAGGGACAGAGGATATGTATGGGTCCAACAACATGGAATTCTCCCTCCAAGGCTGAGCTGTTTGATGCTTCTGCTGAGTGCCTAATCTGCTAAGGCAAATGATTCATTACAGTGAACTAAATGAATTTTGTTGGAATATAAATTTCTGTACATCAAATTCCCATTTGAACTGGTTTTGACATCTTACTGGTTCCCTTATTAATCAGTGAGTTAAATAAAAGCTTGGATACATGTTCATGTTTTATTTGCAAGAGAGTCATGATTTTACCTTTTTGTACATTATACTTTAGCAGTAAGACCATTGTTTTTTCTTAGATTTGCAGTAGCTTTGGGGTAAATGGTAAATCCTCTGGCACTGCCATTGGTAACTCAATAATGATGAATACAACTAAACAACAAATGAATACATTAACCTCAACATAAGAATTTCCAGTTCACACAATATGAGACAGTTTGCAATAAGACTTGGTGAAAATCCTGTCTCTGCAACTTGGAAGCAGTGCAGCTATGGGCAAGTTATTCAACCCTCCTAACCTCAATCTATCTCCCCGTCTAAAAATGGGGCATCATGGGGCTGTCACAAGGATAACATGAATTGGTATACACAAAGTGCTTAGCACAGTACCTGGCACATAGTAAAAGGCCATCATTCCAGAGAAACTTTCATCTGTAAATGGTAAATCCTCTGGCAAGGGTGACTATGCTCACTTGCCCCATTCTCAACCAAAACCAAAATGTGACAATATTGGTCTTACCTATGTAGTTTCTGTTTTATTGATAATAGCTAGTGACTCCTTATTATTTTTTCCACGTTTTAAGTAACAGCTTTATTGAGATGTAATTAATGTACCATAAAATTCACCCTCTTAGAATCCAGTGGTTTTTAGTCTATTCACAGAATTGTGCAATCACCATCACTATCTAATTCAGCTGCCCCGAAAGAAACTCAGTGCCCACGCACCGTCACTCCTCACCCCAGCCCTGAGTGACCACTAATCTGCTTTTTGTCTTTATGAGTTTGCTTATTAGGACATTTCATATACATGGAATCCTACAACATGTGGCTCTTTGTCTCTGGCTTCTTTCCCCGGCACAGTATTTTCAGGGTTCATCCATGTTGTAGCATGTGTCTGCGCTTTCTTTCTTTGTATTCCACTGTGTGGATGCACCATATTTTGTTCATCAATTCATCCACTGTGGAACACTGGGGCTGTTTCAACTTTGGGCTATTATGAGTAATGCTGCTATGAACATTCGCATTCAAATTTCTGTGTGGACATATGTTTTAATTTCCCTTGGGTATAAACTTAGGAGTGGGAGGCTGCCAATTATCGTGGAAAACACACAGGTTGGAAACGGTGGCCTCTGCTTCATGGTTCCTGGTTTCTGACAAAGTTAATCTTTCACCATTGGTGTGCTGGTTAAATAACCTTGGGGGCAAAGACAGACATTTCCTGCTGTCACAGTCTTTACACAAACGCTCATACCATACTTACGATTAGTTGTTTATGTGGGTTAAATTAACCATGGAGTCACTCCTGATCCCATCTCCTTACTAGAGGGTCTGCATCTTTTTTTCTGCATCTACTTTTAAAAATAATTATTTTTAATTGACACATAATTGTACATACTTATGGGGTACAGTGTTATTTTGATACATGTATACAATGTGGAATGACCAGGGTAATTAGCATATTAATCCCTTAAATATCTATCATTTCTTTGTGTTGGAGATGTGAAAGTTGTTAGAATTCAAGAGCTACTGGTGTTTAAAAAAAAAAAAAAACCATGACAAATAGAGCTGGGGAGGCCATGAAGAGAGGATTCTCATGCTTGTATGCCTAATACGAAAATGATCACAAAATATTCTGCAAAAATTACAACCTTGCACATAGGCTGCCGCAACCTCACACAAAATTACTTCTGCAAGGACATCTGCCTAGCAACTGCCTGTCCAACCTCGGACTGGTGTGACCTTTGTTACTGATATTTGTAGCCAAGGATAATTCTTTCAAAACCATTATGTCATCCTCCTCATTTTTTCCTTTAAAAACCTTTTTTTTTTTTTCTTTTTTGAGTCAGAGTCTTGCTCTGTCACCCAGGTTGGAGTGCAGTGGCGCCATCTCGGCTCACTGCAAGCTCCGCCTCCTGGGTTCACGCCATTCTTAGCTGGGACTACAGGCGCCTGCCACCACGCCCGGCTAATTTTTTTTTTTAATTTTAATATTTTTAGTAGAGACGGGGTTTCACCGTGTTAGCCAGGATGGTCTCGATCTCCTGACCTCGTGATCCGCCTGGCTCAGCCTCCCAAAGTGCTGGGATTACATGCGTGAGTCACCGCCCGGCCACCTTTGTTTTTCTTTACCTCCTGGAATATGCACACAGTTTATTACAGCACACATATTCCTGTTGCGATGCCCTACTTTTGATTAAGTATCTTTTTCTTTTAGAGAGCCTGTCTTTGTTATTTAGGTTGACAGGAACATTCAAAATTCTTCTAGCTACTTGAAAATACACAGTAAATTATTGTTAGCGATAGTCACCCTACAGTGCTGCCACTAGACTCCTATCTTGCGGCAAATTTGATTCCATT